TATATATATATATATATATATATATATATATATATATATATGCGTGTTTTATTACTTATCCATCTAAATTTAAATTGCATTATTTCAGGAAGCATAAGGATTTGTTGAACCATTACAGAGCAAAACATATTATATGCGAAGAGGGTGAATGTTTACATTTGGGAATAGCATTTCAGACAGACACTGAACTGAAATTACATAAGGTTAAATTTTTTTAGGTTGATATTCGGATGTTTTGCATATAGCACACGCAAATTTTTTCTAATTTCATTTTTTGCATTATGAAAAAGATCGACAGTAGACTTTTATGATTTTTTAAAGCAAGTAACGTTAATGTTTTCAAATTTTGTAGCAAGTAGAAATATGGAAATATTATTCAGATCAGTGGCAACCTTATGTAACCAAGTTTGCACTGATTTGAATATTGTTGTGCACCGATTTGTTATTTATTTAGTTTTCTAATGCTGTTTCATTCCACTCACAGCACATTCACAATTTGATGTTTTAGTGCTTTTACAGAGTCGAGATCATGCAGCTGGCCCGCAGACACTAACTTTAGATTTTCATTTTTCGGACCGGAGCACGGCTGGACCAAGTCGAGGTAGCAGAATAGCTCAGTCGACACATTCTACATTTTCTTCGAAACAGAACATACCAAAAATAGGTCTTTTGCCACATGAGCGACTTTTACGAGAGAATAAGTCAGTTCTAATTTCACAAACGCACCATTTAATGCTTCAATAAATATATAAATTTAATACAGATACAGAATATCTTTTGCGCTAATTTACTTGTTCGACATAAGGAACAGACGTGATCTGCTGAAATATCCTGTACTACTACCATTTCTGTTTTACAACCTTCATGTGCTTTTTCTTAGAGGTTTTCTTAATGGTTGATTTCTGCCTGTTAACTTCTACCGGTTCTTGACAAGGCAAGAGAATAAAAATTGTTTCGAAAATGATTAAGTGGGAAAATATTTGGAACTTGTATCACTGTTGTCACACTTAATTTCACACTTAATTTCATGTTATTTCTAAAATTCGAATGTCTTAAATAACATAAATTGTCTACTTTTAAAAAGAAACGAATGCATTATTTCAGACCAGTTCCCAACAGTATATCGAGTGTATCTTCAGCAGAAAATGAACTAACTAGGTCATCTCCAAATTGCTTTCCACAGTTCACATTACATGGTAGTGATTTCCCACGGTTAAGGAAATCAACACAAATTTCCGAAGCTTCTAATTCATCACAAGATAACAAGATTGTCGTAGAACCTCAGAGATTAATCACTGAGAATAGTGCCAAAAATGCATCAAATCCTAGCGAGGTAAATCGTTCAACTTATTTTATTCAACTACAAATAGATCTTTGGGAAAAATTCACGAATTACATTGCTAATCCAATTTCAGTGTTATCTTTTCAGCCAAACGGTGTTTCTTCGAGATCATGGTTTATTGATGATGACGAACAGTTCCCTTCTCATCGGCAACATCCAGGTACTTTAAATAAACAGCAAGCCCAGAACAGAGAGATGGGGAATTTCGCGAAAGATAGAGATGTAGGTTTTTTTTTTTTTTTTTTATACGACAGAAAATTTATGCTTATAAAATTTGAGATGGAAAGTTGCGTTGTGCTCAGTATGATGTAATATTCCAACATGATAGATTATTTTATGCATTTAAAACAAAGGTAAGTTCTCGTTGATCAACTGACTACAATCTGTAAGAACCCATTCATATTGTAATTATTTGCACCCATTTGCTCTCCTTAACTCTTAACTTCTTTAGGTTAAAACTAGTTCAGAGACAACAGCGATCGAATTATCGTGGTGTAAAGCAATGAAAAAACCGATGTCCTTAAGTAATGTAGCATCCGCACTAGCACCGAGCGATTTCCCAAGTTTATCTGCATCTGCAGTAGCAAAACCTGTGAGCAATTTATTGCCTGGATCAGTGTGGGCTAAAAAGTGTCGATCTGTTATGCAGGTGCTCCATTTTTGCATATTTTTAACGCAAGTGATTGGGGTTCCGACCATGTAAGCTGGATCCTGCTACTGTTCAGCCTAATGCATGTTCTAACAGTGAGTTGGCTTCATTGACGTTGTCACATCATCACATTCATTCTGAAGGAAAGCCTATTTATGATCATATCTTTTAAACTTTGTAAATTTAATTATATGGTAGGTTTCCTAACAGAAAACCATATTAATCATTAAATCACTCTCCATTGTACCCATTTTGTAATAGCCACTTCAGTCCTATCCTTTGATGAAATTATGCTTATTAATAGCGACATTTTTGGTGACATTAATTATCCAGTGACATGCAAGGATTTATAAACTCTGAGGTTATCTAACATTTAATAATTCATATGATTGCTACATATATGTCATTTCGTATTTACAGACACCTTCAGGACAAATGAATTTGTCTTCATCAACTTCTACTGCTGGTAATATCTCACGAAAAAATAAGCAGCTACCTCTGCCAGATCTTTGGCCTCAAGAATCTGTTCCTGAAAGATGGGAGGATCGGGAAGACTCTTCTACATTGGTTGCTTTATATTGCTTCAATATTTTTGATTCATAAAAAGTCGAAGTTTTAATTAAACTTGATTTTCTTTATTTTCTTACTTATCTTTAGTTCATTTCAAGGAGTCGCTCTCGAAAATGACTTTGGAAGACATGGTTGTTGTCAAGGATACGTCAGCCAAGTGTAAAAAGACTAAGAACAAACAGCAGCATAATTTTGTTAAGAAACTGAATAACCAATTTTCAGAAGTGATTATTTCATTATTTTTCAGTTAAGTCGACTGTTGGCTTATAAGAGAATCGAGAAAAATCAGAACTTTTATAGGGGAGAAAAACGAAGGTGGAAGACAAGATAGTTGATGAATTCGTTGATCCTTTTCCATCTCTTCCTTCTCACGCTCGTCATGAAAGTGAAGCTGAAGAAGCATGTGCGACAAAACCATCATTCAATTTATCAGAGGTATGCAAAATCATTCAATTTTATAACTGCGACAAAAAGATGCTTGAATTGGATTCATGCAGTCATGAATTGACAAGCGGCTCGAAGGAAATATTTCATATCATTAATTTTAAGGCTTTGATAGCATTAATTATCATATTGTATAGCTCCAATCAGACGTATTATTTATCATTCATTACTCGCAAAGAATAATAATTTCAGTTATTGTCATCAGCCTTCTCAGTTCCTAGTAACATTAAAAAAGAGGATAAAAATGAGGCTGCAGAGACGACTGCTATAGATCCTGTAAATGAAGCAACGAATGATGCATCATCGTTTAAGGCTTTTTCGGAACTTGGTGAAAGATCAAAAGGGAAAGTAGGTTTTTTAGTAGTTCGCAAATTTTAGCACATCTGGTTTTTCATCGTATTGTAATGAAAATTGCATACATTTCAATCTGTTTATGTCTTAACCTGCTTTTACTTCTTATTTTTTAATCTTATTAGAGCAGAATCCGGTCTTATTTTTATGTCAAATTTTTCAGAAATATCTTGCAATTATACTTTTTTTTCAGATCTCTAACAAACAATCAGAAATTATTGAAAAATATCTTCCAGCCGGTTTTGGCTCACCTCCCGGATTATGCTCCATGAATTTGGCACCTCCTCCTGGCTTTGGTCCACCACCAGGTTTTGATAATACATTGTGTCCAAAAATGCAAACTTCATTAAGTGATGTGGTAAAATCATCTGATGAAAATGTAAACGTGAGTGTTTCAAAGGCAGTAAAGCATGGTAATAAGAAGAAAGGCAAGAAGTGACGGATAGGTATACGGATACGGTAAGTAAAGCAATTTCTTTAATCTGCGTGTTAAGTTTTCTGGAATTTTAAATTTTCATATTTCTTATTCTCAATTTTGAAAATTTAAGTTATCTAACTACTTGTATCTTAAGTTCGTCTAAGGCCTTATTTAAATCTTTAGATTTTATTGGGTTATATTTCTATACACATGAAGTGAATATTGTATAATTTTCTGATTAGTAGGTCGTTTTTTTTTCGTTCTAGTTTTACTTTCCCTCGAAGCGGTTGATTAGCGTAATTCTATGCTCTGCACTGAACACATCCGTTTAATATCATATTACTTGCAATAAGTTGTTCCATTGCTCACGAAAACTAAACGTTGCTCTTGCAAGCATCATCGCTTAGTTCTCTGTATTTATTTTTAAGCAAATATGTTTCAGAATTATCAACGCAATCACTATTTAACCATACAAGCTTTGCAAGTCAACTACTGCTTAGGTAACATTCTTAAGATATGGGAAGTTGTACTGATTGGTACTCAAGAAATTTTTTTTTCTAACCTGAATTCTCTAGATAGCGTAACTTCTTGATTTCACTTCGCCCATAACAGATGGCGCTAGATAATGCATCTTCTTGTTTCATTTCGCCTATAATAGATGGAAAACCTAAGATGTGATTTTAATATTTGCCATTTTTGTGGTTCTGAATTTTCCGTTTCTTCGGTTTTGAGATGGTCAACTTTACATATATGCTCATCTTATTCAGTATCTATTAGTTCCTTTATTATTCTTTTGCTTGCAGTTTCTCAAATCATTATTTGATTGAGTATGCATTGTGCTATATTTGGTTACGGAATGAATAAATCTACAAGCAGATGAAATTGCTGTTAAAAGAGAAATTCGATTATTACTTCCCTTCTGGTACTTCTTGAATAAGTCTGACGATGTTTACAGTATTTTCCCTCAATTAAATGGAAAGCCAAGTTAAGTAGGGGAGATTAACAAAAAAAAACTGTTAGCGCCTTTTTTTAATTGAGATATTAGTTTTATCTTTTGTTCCTGATCGTCGTGCGCTGCGTATGATGTTTTCAATTCCAATGAAGTAAGCATGGATGCTGAAAGCAAGATCAGGATGTTTTCCGAATGAAAGTCTTTATATTGTTTTTTTTTTCCTTTCAATTTTTTAAACTTAAATTGAACTGATTGATTTTAAGGAAATCGAGTAAAATTCACGAAATTCTGATTGAGGAAATTGTTATCATTTGTTCATTCGATCTTCAAATACCTTTGCATTTGTTCGTAATCAAAAAAAAAAAAGTAATGATGATGATGTGAGATGGAAAAGAAATTAAAATGCTAGAATCATAAAAAGATGGATGTGGGTGAGAGGTGTACTACTCGGTGTGATTTTGTTTGAACGTATAACCTTTTTTCTTTTCTTTTGATATATTTTAGTTTAACATTTAAAAAGACATTTGAATGGGATGACAATGACAAATATTACCGAATGCTTTTCTTTTTTTTTTCTCAAGAATAGACTAATGAAAAAGATGATAAAAAAATTTTGTTGAATGTATGGAATGAAATTGGATAATGGCGATAAAATTATGCTGATAAGTTTTGTAAAAATTTGGCAAATAATAGTTGGAATCAAATTGAATAATAAATATCATTAGAAAGATAAATGTCATATGAGTGTAATAATTGATGCATTCAATTGTACATCTAAATTGATTTCTTCCTTTCCTATCTCTTTTTTTTCCTTCCTTTTTCTTTTTTTTTTTTGCTTCTTGCTTTTTGAAGAGTAAATGTTTAGCTTTTGTTTCGATGCGTTATTTGTCAATGATGATAAATTGGAAAACGGAGAAGAAAGGAGATGGAAAAAGTTTGATTAGAAAAAAAAAGTTTTGACAAATTGTTACGGATAGATACACGCATCTTTTCCTTGGGTTTTTACCCCTTACGAAAGTGAATTTTTTTTCTTTTTTTGTAACATGTTTTTGACAATAAATGAAAACAAAATGGCAACATTTTATTTGCCATTTAATTCCACCGAACTTCACTTTGACATCAAGTATTGTTGTTTGTTCCAACTAACTTCTTTTCCAAAAATGCTGAAACAAAGGGAGGAACAGTAATAATAATAATAATAATTAATAATGATTAATAATAATAATAATAATAATAATAATAATAATAATAATAATAATAATAATAATAATAATAATAATAATAATAATAATAATAATAATAATAATAATAATAATAATAATAATAATAATAATAATAATAATAATAATAATAATAATAATAATAATAATAATAATA